AAAAGTTTAAAATTTAATTTAACCAAATTCAGAATAGTATGCAGGCCGTTGGACCTCTCAACTAATTACAAAGTGGTCAACTTAAATTTTAAATATAGAATATTTACTGTCACAAGAAAGTTTTCATTGTTAGCTGACATAAGTAAACTACCAATGACAACGAAAAGTTTAAAATTTAATTTAACCAAATTCAGAATAGTATGCAGGCCGTTGGACCTCTCAACTAATTACAAAGTGGTCAACTTAAATTTTAAATATAGAATATTTACTGTCACAAGAAAGTTTTCATTGTTAGCTGACATAAGTAAACTACCAATGACAACGAAAAGTTTAAAATTTAATTTAACCAAATGCAGAATAGTATGCAGGCCGTTGGACCTCTCAACCAATTACAAAGTGGTCAACTTAAATTTTAAATATAGAATATTTACTGTCACAAGAAAGTTTTCATTGTTAGCTGACATAAGTAAACTACCAATGACAACGAAAAGTTTAAAATTTAATTTAACCAAATGCAGAATAGTATGCAGGCCGTTGGACCTCTCAACTAATTACAAAATGGTCAACATAAATTTTAAAATATAGAATATTTACAGTCACAAGAAAGTGTCCATTGTTAGCTGACATAAGTAAACTACCAATGACAACAAAGGTTTAAAAAATTTAATTTAACCAAATGCAGAATAGTATGCAGGCCGTTGGACCTCTCAACTAATTACAAAATGGTCAACTTAAATTTTAAAATATAGAATATTTAAAGTCACAAGAAAGTGTTCATTGTTAGCTGACATAAGTAAACTACCAATGACAACGAAAAGTTTAAAATTTAATTTAACCAAATGCAGAATAGTATGCAGGCCGTTGGACCTCTCAACTAATTACAAAATGGTCAACTTAAATTTTAAAATATAGAATATTTAAAGTCACAAGAAAGTGTTCATTGTTAGCTGACATAAGTAAACTACCAATGACAACGAAAAGTTTAAAATTTAATTTAACCAAATGCAGATTAGTATGCAGGCCGTTGGACCTCTCAACTAATTACAATATGGTCAACTTAAATTTTAAAATATAGAATATTTACAGTCACAAGAAAGTGTTCATTGTTAGCTGACATAAGTAAACTACCAATGACAACAAAAGTTTAAAATTTAATTTAACCAAATGCAGAATAGTATGCAGGCCGTTGGACCTCTCAACTAATTACAAAATGGTCAACTTAAATTTTAAATATAGAATATTTACAGTCACAAAAGATTGTTCATTTTAATGGGGGACTTCTTTATCCTTTGTTAGCTGAAATATCACATGATTAGAAAAATACAACACTCTGCGCAATTCAAGTACTAAAGACACGATGCACTCCATAAAGTAAAACCATCTAAGATACAAGCTAAAAAAACAACATGCAGCACATGCTATTGACTAAAACATTAAGTTAGATTGGCCAAATCTAACGAAAGGTTTTAATCAAAAGTCAGTCAGTCTACACTCAACCAGTCAGCTGTGCCAGTTGGGTGAGACTGACTACAGTCCGTTCGCTGCCGCTACTTTTATCCGCGAGCCAGTTGGGAGGGGGTCGGTTGGGAGGTTTACCCTGCTTCGCGGGTAAATTTCCCTACTGTCGGGTAATTCTACCTACTAAGTAAGGAAGTCTCCAAACCTCCAACATCACATCATTCAGTGTCGAACCTTCAACGAAGACTGTTCACATATGCTAGCTCTGTTCTGATGTTAACTATGGATAAGCCAAGTACAATCACACAAGATAAACTAAAGAGAATAAAAGAAGATTTAAAGAAATCTACTACTACTAAAACTAGCAATTTTCGCAAGTCAATGTCACTACGTCTAAAGTTTCAGAAGCAAATTAAATTACCACTACATTGGAATGCATCAGGATCAAATTATTCCAGTCAATTATCACCCGAAGCCATATGTCAAGAAATGAAGCTTCCTCAACTAGTAAGTCCAATAGAAACAGAAAAAGTAACATTTAAATATCTGTTACAAAACAAACATTATCAATTAGTAGAACAAAGACAAAACGAAAATGGTAAAACGTTTATTTTCTTTTATGACAACAAGTTTTTAGAGGTTTGCTTTCCGACACGATTAAATGTGCCAAAGCCTCCTGACGTTGAAGATGGCAAACTAATTTATTTGATTCGCACAAGTCAGGACACATGGAATTGGGTATAATTCACTTAAAAAAAAAAACAGTCTTTCTAAAGACTTCATTATATAAACATATTTTGACCACAAAGTCTGATCTGTCAAACTGTTTAACAAAATATAAACGATATTTAATTTTACTTTATTTTTTACGTCACGGTCTCCAGTACCCGCAATACACCACTACTTAAGGTTTTTTTTAAGACCAACAAATATTTACTAACATGGGGAAAATATATCTACTATTTTTGGAACGTATTTCTGTATAAACATCTTTTAACCACAAACAGCTAACCTGCGACTATCTAACATAAGATATAAATTAAAATTGGTTTTTACAATACCTTGTGTTGTTGAGTCAATCGAGGTGTAGTATTACGATGGCATCAACGATGCAAACGATAGACCCAGGACCGTACAACACTCCGCCGCTATGTCCGAAAGCAAACTGTAGAACTGTGGATACAAATCCACATGGAGGTAAAGTAGGGGCATATGCCCTTGATCCACTGCCGCCACACTTTCCCTCGACCGACGGCCTCAGCCTAATTCACGGCAATCGCGGTGACACAACCTTGCGCCGCGGGCACTAGTACAATACTGTAGGCTACTGTTAAAATGTTTCCGTCGACAATATGATTTTAACTCAATTTATTGTCTGTACATGTAAGCTGTGTTTTGGTTTAAAACCTTGGTGTAGCTGTTGGTTGATATTCCCAATACATTTAAGACAATTGCAAACGAACAAGTATTAGCTATTTAAACACACTACTGTACAGACAGCTGTTTCATCCCCTATCCATTACCACCAGCTCCTACCACCTGTATCCTGTTACCACCTGCTTGCTGCACTTATGACGACGTACGCTAATTTTATACAAAACGTCACAAGTGACGTATCACCGGAAATCCGCTATAACTACGCCATTTCCGCCCCTATCTTCAAAACAGCTGATGGCGGAGAAACCCTAATAATGGTCTACTTATTATCACAATGCCAAATACAATTGGTGGTTGGTGGGATTAGAACCCAAGTCTTCAGGTTAGAATGTCCATGTTTAAACAGCAAGACCAGCTGCACCCAATCCCAATGTTCACTGATAAGTGAGTTTAACAAACTTTATAATGGATGAATTTTGTTTTACGACGATAAAAATTCCATCAACATGAGATGAAAGGAAGAAGTTAAGCATCTCTAGGATATTATAGTCCCTTTATGACTCTTTAATCAAAATTTGTATCCAAATTATAAATTGTTTACGGCAACAGAAGTTTATGTACAAATTCCATGGTATTTGTATTATACACAAGAGGATGCATTCATAAAGTGATATTTTAATCTTTGAAAAGATTCGTTTGAAATTGCTCCATTAAGTTTCTTTCATACATAAGCTGTTCCTAATATACTATATATATAGGGGGAGAAAGTAAAAAGGATATGTGTAGGTCATTCAGTAAATCACCTTTAAACCATTTTAGGAATCAAAAATAATAACTTAGATCGTTTTAGGAGCTAAACGTACGCACATACAGACAGATTAACCTTAAGAAACCACTATGAGCTATTTTCACCGAGAAACCTTGAGAAACGACATGAATGTTTTAAACCCATTTTATGAACAACATAGTAATCAGAAGGCTAAATGACTTAAAAAAAGAAAACATATTTTTCCATACTGTACTGTTTACGAAATTATTTTGTTCTTTTTATACATAAATGAATTGTTACTTAAAGAAGCATTAATAAAAAAACTTTTTCTAAAAAATAACAGAAAGAAAATATTGTACAATTGAAATAATAATGTAACTTTATTGTGCAAATATTTCATTCTTTATGACCCGTTGTTTCATTCCATCTTGGCAGTAAGATTTCTGACAAGGTTTTTACATTAGAGTGGAAAACTACTTAAAGTGTATCTAACTAAGAGATTTATATCAACAATTTAAATTATAAACATTATTAATCAAAACAACCTGATATTAGAAGACTGTTAATTTCGTTGATTTTCCTAAAACAAATTTTAACAAATGTTTTTTAAAAGCCAAGAAGTTAGCACGCAACGCATATTCTTTTCTTAGGAAGAAACATGTTTTTTAGGAGCGAATTTTCCTATAGGTAAGTAGCTATTACCGCAAGTGGCACGGTAAGAACTAGCCCCGGGACCGATTTAATTTTTATTTTGATGTCCCCATAGGCCAAAACCACCATCCATTCAAATTTATATATATATATGTCCGTGAACGCGATAACTTAAGTAATTTTTGTCCGATTTTGATGAAATTTGGTTTGAAGTTGTAAGACGGAATAAAATTGAATGAGTTCGCGCACCAGCATGATCGGACCATGGGAACGGGGTTTCACGGGGGTTCTTTTTGATAATTTTTAGACGGTGAGACCGATTGTATTATAGACTGACTGTGATGTATTCTTGCACTGACGATGTCTTTTTTAACGTTCTGTTATTTAATGGCAAGTCAATGTTCTTCATTCTTAAGGGGAAATGAATGAAAAATCAGATTTGTTGATTTCTCCAAGTTTTTTAGATTCGTAGTCTTTGAGCAACGGCCAATCTCGATGAAAAATAACCATCATTGCTGACGTTTCGGCTTCGATGCAGAGTGCTCTCTTCAGGGTGATTTTACTCCGCGTTCAATTTGTTGACAAATTCACCCTGAGGATGGGTACTCTATATTGATGCCGAAACGTTGGTCAATAATAATAATAGTGTTTGCCGAGTTTAACACCATCGATAACAGAAGATCACGAATCTACAAGTAGTGATCGTTAAAGCATATCCAGGAAGATTTTTCAAGATTTGTTAGACTTACTTGCTGAAGAGGCGTAGAACCACGCAGATGATGATGAACATGAGACACATGGCGACCAAGATGGCGATCATGATCGGGTCCACGTATTTCTCAGGCTCTGGAGGCTTGTAGTCCGCTACAAAAACAAAATAGAGTAAGAATACGGTTGACTATGACAAGAAAGCCATCAATTAAATCGTGCTCAAAGAATTTTTACTTCGTAGGACAATGTTCCGAAAAGGTTGCGGACATAAGGAACTGATTAGAAAGAATGTGCAAGGTCAGGCATAGTAAAATGCATTTTTCTTGAAGGCAAAGTTCCAAAAACCTTAAGCCTTGCATTTTCCGTCCGCAAAGGCAGATCTTTGTGTGGAACGTAGTTAGCAAAGCAAGGGGTAAGTCAATACAGTATAAGGGTGGACTGTAGTGATAAAAAGTGGTGGTAGAATCCGAACCCACGACATGGCTGCAGACTGAGCCACCAACTCACTAAACAGTAAACATTACTGAAAAATTCCGGAATTTAGCGGAAAACGGCTGTGTACATTGTACCACTACCATTTTTGAGGGAATCAGCTGCTTCCCTACTTCACATTATGAATTTATGAGCGAATGATTGACATATTGAATAAAAATAATTTATGTAAACGGGCAAAGAGAGGGGTAAGATGGGACTTTCTTAACCTATATATGTATAGGCTATTACAGATACAGTACTTACTCACATACTTAGTCACAAACCCTATTTCACTTATATAATTGAAATGTTTTTAAAAAGATTTTCTGTGGGTTTCACAGTTAGACGTGCTAATTTTAGGTTTATGTCTATCTTATTATGAATTTTGATTACTGAAGGCATTATTTAGTTAAGCCCCGTTCACACGGGGCGAGTTTACAAGCTACACGCCGGCTTTTTTACACGCAGCTAGTAAAATAGCTCAGTGTGAACGACGTACTCGCTCAAAAGCTGCTTGTAAAAAAGCTCTGGAAAAAGTTGACGCTGCCGCTACTTTACACGCCAACTCGCCAGCTTTTGAGCGAGTAGGCTTGTAAAGTAGCCCAGTGTGAACACAGTTGCTTGTGCTTGTGCGCTTGTTACTCAAAGATGTTGGAGGATTTGGTTCAAGCCAGCTACTGAGCGAGTGGAAAAAGCATCGTGTGAACGACTACAAGCGCACTCGCCGACTCGCCGGCGTCTTTCTACACGTCTGCGAGTTGGCGAGTGGACAAGCTCCGTGTGAACGAATACAAGCACACTCGCCAACTCGCCGGCTTCTTACACGCTGGCGAGTAGCTTGTAAACTCGCCCCGTGTGAACGGGCCTTAATAGGCTGTTTTCAATCTAAATTGTGGTACTGAAACTGGTGTAGAGGACATCAGCTGTTCAATTATTTGTTGCTCGTATCATTGACAACATCAGCTGTTCAATTGTTTGTTGCTAGTATCATTGACAACATCAGCTGTTTAATTGTTTGTTGCTCGTATCATTGACAACATCAGCTGTTCAATTGTTTGTTGTTCGTATCATTAACAACATCAGCTGTTTAATTGTTTCTTGTTCGTATCACAGCTGCAAACCTGCGTACGGTTACTTTGAGAATACAGTAAACTGACATTGTTCGTTCGTAAATAACCTATTGAACGGAGAACAGATAGTCCGTAGAGTTTAACATATTAATACCCATAGTTAGAATAGTTATGGTATGTTTTATAGTCAATAGCATGGAAAAAAAAACAGAAAAAAATATTTTAAAGTTAAAAGGGTTGAATAATTATTTAAATGTTATAACTTGTGTTAATATTTTATGAAGTGTTTACGCACTTCATATAAAATCAAAATCTTAAAGATCGACAAAACAAAGTAAATTAAAACAAGATTTCCCACCCGATTTCTTATTCTAAGAAAAAAATCCTCTTTTCATATTAACGATAAAAATCAGTATAAGTTTTTTACTTAACAGAACATAGAAATTGTAAAAGTATTCAGCATTTTGTAAAATACCAACGTCACATAAATTGGTACTTAATACTGACTCAAATTGCCATTGGCAGACTTCCAACCAGACACTGTAGACATTGGCACCACAAAAGTTACGATGTTTGATCAGTTCTCATGTTGACGATATAAAAGGGTTCTGATGTTTAATTTATTCTGCTGTTGATTCATTAAACAGTGATTATATTTAGAGTCGACAAGAGTTACCAATAGAAAAAATACCTCTTGAAACAGGTAAAATATAAATAAAACCATGTTAAATTGTACAGGGTGGTCATATATAATTATTGTACACATTTTATGATAAAATAAATAAATAACCAAGATATATGAGAACTGTTTCATTAAATGGCAAATTCAAAACAGTGTTATAAAGTAACAAAAAAATAATTATAAAAATGACAGCAATTATGAAAAGTAGTTATAAAAGGACTGTAAAGATCACTTAAACTGTTATTGTAAGTTATGTTATTCTGAGGTGAAGACCCTTTAGACTATATGTTGGACACTTCCCAGTCGTTTGAACTGTCTGTACCACCATTTTATAGAATTGTTACACGGAGAATTACGGTCATACTCTAAACGAAGCATTCTTCGAACAGTTATTATAGATTTGCTTTCATGAAACCAAAGAGTTTTTATTGCACACTAGTAATTTTGTTACTTAAGTCAGTTTAAGGTTTGATTTAACAAAATGTCATACACAGCTGGTGGAGAAAGGTCCATTGTTGGTTTTACCATGCTAACTATGCCATGCTATCCATGCTGACTATGCCACAACACAAGTCATTGAGAAAAAAACATAACATACAATCACTGTTTAAGTGATGTTTACACACTTTTTATAACCACTTTTTATAATTACTAAAATTTATATAATTATTGTTTTGCAGTTATTGTATGTATGTAGTTATTGTTATTGTTTGTATGTAGTTATTGTTATTATTGTATAAAACCATTTTAAATTTACTGTTCAATGAAACAATTCCCATTTTTCTAAGTTGCTTGGTTATTTGTTTATATCATCTTAAAATGTGTCCAATAATTTATGAACACTCTGTATAATAAATGTGAAATGTCGTATTAACAATTAAATGTATTGGATAATAAACACGAATAAAGTCTGATTATTTAGAATAGAGTCTAAAATAGTAACAATATAAAAAAAAGACTCCATGAACCAAACAATACTAAAATAAAACTTTATTAATCGACAATCGTATAAAAAAATGTGAAATGTTGTATTAACAATTAAATTGTGTAGTAAATATGAATATCATCTTGACAAGAATTGTTAATGTTATTAAAATTAAGAAAAGTTGATTAAATATAAGTCTAACAACATTTCAAACATATATTTACACTATTTCCATTTACTATACGGTAAATACATAAAATATGGTAAGTAGAGATTTATTTCGACTGGGCATCCGCCTATTGGGTCAGATGATGATTCAAAATTGAAATCGATGAAATGAATTTAAATTTTTCCAATGCATGTTGATTAAATTACAGGGCCAAAACATTTGTAGGGAAACTAAACATATTAAAGAATGGTTTTATACTTTACATGCTGATTATTTCATCGTTAATACATTATTTTAAATTTTATTATTTAAGTTTCCTGCACACAAAATCAAGACTGGATGCCAATAAATTCTTAAGAGTTTAGTTAATCAAAAGTTGTTTGCCATCATTGATGACCAAACAAACAACAAATACACATTTTTATAAAATCCAAAATGTCAAACTAAAATTTATCTGAGCGGTCGGAAACAAATTAAGAAGGACTTGGGTTAACTCCATAGTTAACCAACCCATTGGGAGGATAGCTTGTGCATTTGCTAATTTCCCATTAACACCTCCATATGTAAATCTTAAATAGCTTCATGAAAATATTACACTGAATAAAAAAATAAGTATTCTACAAAATTTTACATAACATTCTTTATGAACCAATTCAACATGTAAGTAACTAAAACAAAACACTGTAAATTCGTTGATACTTGCAGTGGATACTTGAGATAAAATCTATAGTACCCACTTCAATCGAGTTGGGCAAGAGATCATAACGTCATCACTACTCAAGTCAAGAGATTTGATTTGTTCTTACGATTGCCTGTTTAACCTTAGCCACTCAGATTATATTCTTAAGTATCACATTGAGTACTACAGATGTATTACTTACCTACACACTCGTACTTATCATGTTTGAGAACGGCTGTCATCTCGAAGCGACACGCACACCGACCATCCTTGCATTCTGTTTGAATCACCTTCACTTCACACTGTTCATTGAAGAAACACGATTCGTTGATGTTGACCGCTGAAACAACATCAAAATATGTTAGAAGCAGTTTTTGTAAGTTTAGGAAAGTAAATAAAATATCTTCGGTCTATGGTCCAAAGTTAATCATCTATCATCACTGAACTCGGATTAAAGAACAGACAGTAAATGCTCGAGGGTTCGATCACTTTAAGCAAATCATTATCTCGATAAGAATCTCATTAATCATAGTTTAATTGATTTTTATCACAAAAGAAATCTTTGATCTCGATTTTGATCAAGTTTTGCAAACATTCATTTTCAGATGGATCTCATTGGCCTTCATGAATCTTGGACTATACAATACTAGAACAGTTTTACCACACCATATTTTATACCAGTTCTTAATTAGGTTACTTCATTATCGGTTTGACATCACATAACACACTCTGCTGTAAAAGTTTGGGAATCTATTATAATTTCGATTATAATCTACGAATGGATAATAAAATATCTATGTCGATACAGAGTCAGTTATAGAATAATAATTAGGGTTAATTAATCGTGAAGATGATCATCCTGACTTGATGGTGTCCATCAACAATGGAGGTCAGGACATAAACAACCCAGTCGGTGATTGGATGTTAAATATTAATTTCTCATTAGAACACCATAACGTAGACGACGTTTTCCATTAACACAGCTGAAACTGTGTAAGGCTTTTATACTGAGATGAAACTAAAACTTGACGCATAAAGAATATTATAAAAGGGGTTAGTGTTTGCAAGCAAATCAATAAATAAAATTGTCAATTAAATGAAATCGTCACTTATTAAATTTAATACTACCAATAATGAAGTACCATTAATAACTAAAAAATAAAGTTAGTATGGATAATTTATGGTAGGACTTTGGTTAAGAAATGTTCTGTTTTAGCGAATAAAATAACCCAATCCATCCTGTTAAAATATATTTGTATTGTTAGAGGTGAAGTAGACCACTCAGTACTGAGTATCCATTATCAGCTCTACAGGAGTCCTCTATCACTAAGTGACTCACCACACACACAGATATACTGTGGTAGTATATCACAACTTGTACATGTATTGTTAGAGGTGAAGTAGACCACTCAGTACTGAGTATCCATTATCAGCTCTACAGGAGTCCTCTATCACTAAGTGACTCACTACACACACATATATACTGTGGTAGTATATCACAACTAGTTGTACATGTATTTTTAGAGGTGAAGTAGACCACTCAGTACTGAGTATCCATTATCAGCTCTACAGGAGTCCTCTATCACTAAGTGACTCACTACACACACATATATACTGTGGTAGTATATCACAACTTGTACATGAATTGTTAGAGGTAAAGTAGACCACTCAGTACTGAGTATCCATTATCAGCTCTACAGGAGTCCTATATCACTAAGTGACTCACTACACACACAGATATACTGTGGTAGTATATGACAACTTGTACATGAATTGTTAGAGGTAAAGTAGACCACTCAGTACTGAGTATCCATTATCAGCTCTACAGGAGTCCTCTATCACTAAGTGACAAACTACACACACAGATATACTGTGGTAGTATATCACAACTTGTACATGAATTGTTAGAGGTAAAGTAGACCACTCAGTACTGAGTATCCATTATCAGCTCTACAGGAGTCCTCTATCACTAAGTGACTCACTACACACATAGATATACTGTCGTAATGTATCACAACTTGTACATGAATTGTTAGAGGTGTAGTAGACCACTCAGTACTGAGTATCCATTATCAGCTCTACAGGAGTCCTCTATCACTAAGTGACTCACTACACACACAGATATACTGTGGTAGTATATCACAACTAGTTGTACATGTATTGTTAAAGGTGAAGTAGACCACTCAGCACTGAGTATCCATTATCAGCTCTACAGGAGTCCACTATCACTAAGAGACTCACTACACACACATATATACTGTTGTAATATATCACAACTTGTACATGAATTGTTAGAGGTGAAGTAGACCACTCAGTACTGAGTATCCATTATCAGCTCTTCAGGAGTCCACTATCACTAAGAGACTCACTACACACACAGATATACTGTGGTAGTATATCACAACTTGTACATGTATTGTTAGAGGTAAAGTAGACCACTCAGTACTGAGTATCCATTATCAGCTCTACAGGAGTCCTCTATCACTAAGTGACTCACTACACACACAGATATACTGTGGTAGTATATCACAACTTGTACATGAATTGTTAGAGGTGAAGTAGACCACTCAGTACTGAGTATCCATTATCAGCTCTACAGGAGTCCTCTATCACTAAGTGACTCACTACACACACAGATATACTGTGGTAGTATATCACAACTTGTACATGAATTGTTAGAGGTAAAGTAGACCACTCAGTACTGAGTATCCATTATCAGCTCTACAGGAGTCCTCTATCACTCTAAGTGACTCACTACACACACAGATATACTGTGGTAGTATATCATAACTTGTACATGAATTGTTAGAGGTAAAGTAGACCACTCAGTACTGAGTATCCATTATCAGCTCTACAGGAGTCCTCTATCACTAAGTGACTCACTACACGCAAAGATATACTATAGTAGTATATCACAACTAGTCGTGCATGTATTGTTAGAGGTAAAGTAGACCACTCAGTACTGAGTATCCATTATCAGCTCTACAGGAGTCCTCTATCACTAAGTGACTCATTACACACACAGATATACTGTGGTAGTATATCACAACTAGTTGTGCATGTATTGTTAGAGGTGAAGTAGACCACTCAGTACTGAGTATCCATTATCAGATCTGCAGGAGTCCTCTATCACTAAGTGACTCACTACACACACAGATATACTGTGGTAGTATATCACAACTAATTGTGCATGTATTGTTAGAGGTGAGGTAGACCACTCAGTACTGAGTATCCATTATCAGCTCTACAGGAGTCCTCTATCACTAAGTGACTCACTACAAACACAGATGTACTGTGGTAGTGTATCAAAACTAGTTGTACATGTATTGTTAGAGGTGAGGTAGACCACTCAGTACTGAGTATCCATTATCAGCTCTACATGAGTCCTCTATCACTAAGTGACTCACTACACACACAGATGTACTGTGGTAGTGTATCACAACTAGTTGTACATGTATTATTAGAGGTGAAGTAGACCACTCAGTACTGAGTATCCATTATCAGCGCTACAGGGGTCCTCTATCACTAAGTGACTCACTACACACACAGATATACTGTGGTAGTATATCACAACTAGTCGTGCATGTATTGTTAGAGGTGAAGTAGACCACTGGGTACTCAGTATCCATTATCAGCTCTACATGAGTCCTCTATCACTAAGTGACTAACTACACACACAGATGTACTGTGGTAGTATATCACAACTAATTGTGCATGTATTGTTAGAGGTGAGGTAGACAACTCAGTACTGAGTATCCATTATCAGCTCTACATGAGTCCTCTATCACTAAGTGACTCACTACACACACAGATGTACTGTGGTAGTGTATCACAACTTGTACATGAATTGTTAGAGGTAAAGTAGACCACTCAGTACTGAGTATCCATTATCAGCTCTACAGGAGTCCTCTATCACTAAGTGACTCACTACACACACAGATGTACTGTGGTAGTGTATCACAACTAGTTGTACATGTATTGTTAGATGTAAGGTAGACCACTCAGTACTGAGTATCCATTATCAGCTCTACAGGAGTCCTCTATCACTAAGTGACTCACTACACATACAGATATACTGTGGTAGTATATCACAACTAGTTGTACATGTATTGTTAGAGGTAAAGTAGACCACTCAGTACTGAGTATCCATTATCAGCTCTACAGGAGTCCTCTATCACTAAGTGACTCACTACACACACAGATATACTGTGGTAGTATATCACAACTTGTACATGAATTGTTAGAGGTGAAGTAGACCACTCAGTACTGAGTATCCATTATCAGCTCTACAGGAGTCCTCTATCACTAAGTGACTCACTACACACACAGATATACTGTGGTAGTATATCACAACTTGTACATGAATTGTTAGAGGTAAAGTAGACCACTCAGTACTGAGTATCCATTATCAGCTCTACAGGAGTCCTCTATCACTCTAAGTGACTCACTACACACACAGATATACTGTGGTAGTATATCACAACTTGTACATGAATTGTTAGAGGTAAAGTAGACCACTCAGTACTGAGTATCCATTATCAGCTCTACAGGAGTCCTCTATCACTAAGTGACTCACTACACGCAAAGATATACCATAGTAGTATATCACAACTAGTCGTGCATGTATTGTTAGACGTAAAGTAGACCACTCAGTACTGAGTATCCATTATCAGCTCTACAGGAGTCCTCTATCACTAAGTGACTCATTACACACACAGATATACTGTGGTAGTATATCACAACTAGTTGTGCATGTATTGTTAGAGGTGAAGTAGACCACTCAGTACTGAGTATCCATTATCAGATCTGCAGGAGTCCTCTATCACTAAGTGACTCACTACACACACAGATATACTGTGGTAGTATATCACAACTAATTGTGCATGTATTGTTAGAGGTGAGGTAGACCACTCAGTACTGAGTATCCATTATCAGCTCTACAGGAGTCCTCTATCACTAAGTGACTCACTACAAACACAGATGTACTGTGGTAGTGTATCACAACTAGTTGTACATGTATTGTTAGAGGTGAGGTAGACCACTCAGTACTGAGTATCCATTATCAGCTCTACATGAGTCCTCTATCACTAAGTGACTCACTACACACACAGATGTACTGTGGTAGTGTATCACAACTAGTTGTACATGTATTATTAGAGGTGAAGTAGACCACTCAGTACTGAGTATCCATTATCAGCTCTACAGGAGTCCTCTATCACTAAGTGACTCACTACACACACAGATATACTGTGGTAGTATATCACAACTAGTCGTGCATGTATTGTTAGAGGTGAAGTAGACCACTGGGTACTCAGTATCCATTATCAGCTCTACATGAGT